GAGATGACTCGACGAGTTAGTTAGGGTTTTTCCCGATATTTGGACACCACATGGACTCGACGAGTTGTCTGGAAACTCGGCGAGTCGACTAGGGTTTTCACGACTTCTTGAGTTCTGAAGGAACTTGACGAGCCTGTTAGCTACACTCGACGAGTTGGGTCAACATGGACTGTTGACCTTGACCGTTGACTTTTACTTTGACCAATGGTTGACCAGTTTGACTTCTGGGGGTATTTTAGTAAATTGGAAATTTATGGAAGTGGATTATTGGTGGATGTAGGTGTTTGAGTTTGGAGCTGTATATGGGGAGTTTGACATCATCATCCCGAGCTACTTATGAGGTGACTTCTTCTCACTATATCAACAGGGTCTAAGGCACCAAGGCCGACCCTTTATGATTTGTATCCTGGTTATAGGATGGTTGTTATGCTAATGATCTGTTAGATCGGTATCCTGATTATAGGATTATGTTATGTTAGTGATATGTTGGATCAGTATCCTAGTTATAGGATTATGCTATGTTAATGATCTGTTAGATTGGCATCATGGTTATAGGATGGTTGCTATGTTAGTGATCGGTTAGATCGGTATCCTGGTTATAGGATGGTTGCCATGTTAGAGATCTGTTAGATCTGTATGACTATCTGTACATGCTAGCTAGCGTATGATATTTATGTGCACATGATTGTTTGATTTGGGGGTTGGGTTGAGGCGGACCTGCTTTGTGCTGAAGGCTAACATACCCAGGGCGGACCGGATAGACTGCAGACCCGGTAGGGCATACTAGTCAGGCCGAAGGCCCGACGAGCGGTCCGGATAGGCTGAAGGCTCTGAGAGGCGGTCCAGACGTGCCGATGGCTCGGAAAGCGGTCCAGATAGACTGATGGCCCTGCGAGGCGGTCCAGTCAGGCTGATGGCTCATTATGTATGCTGTTTGTTTATATGATATGGTTATATTTGTATGGCGTTGGTATTTTGGGGGAACTCACTAAGCTTCGGGCTTACAGTTGTTGATTATGTTTCAGGTACTTCTGATGGAAGGCGAAGGCATGATCGTGCACCCCCTTATATTTTCATGATTTGATTCTGGGGATACTCTGATGTTTAAACTATTTTGAAAACAAATTTATAATAATTATTGGTTCTAAATGATTTAAAAAGTTTTAATTGGCTTGATTTTTATGGGTGTTACACTTTACATGTACGAGCACAATGAGTTGTTATTCTAGGGTGGTATCGGGTACCTCCACTAGCATACATGCACCCAAATGTGATGTTTGATCCGGCGTTTCTAAGTAGCCAACATCACTCCAGTCCCGATACACCAACGTGCACACGAACCATGTCTCGAAATGGTCAACTAGAAAACCATTCAATGTCGACTTGGCTTAAGCTCTTTTCCTCCATCGATATCGTTCCCCCTGCGATATCCCATAAGGGCACGTACCTAAGTTAGGTTACTACCCTTTTACCCCCGCTATGTGTATTCCCCTTTTATTTTAATTAATTAGCTAATTAAATAATTTCTCTCACATGGGCAAAACACACCTCTCCCTAATATCATTATATAACCATGCAAGTGAATTATTATTATGATTAATTCATGGCATACTACATCTTCCAAACACACATCCAAGGTATATCAATACAAGTATAGATAACAACATGTGATAACATACAATGAGATACACCTTTCGATCAAACAACATCTAGCATGCATATCCTAGCTTCATAAAGGTGACAAAACAAAAAATATAGCATGCATAACATCATAATATAACCAAAAAAATCCCTCACTTCTAGCATGGACCTAATCCTCATAATTTGCACCAAGTGTTTGACTTAAGGAATCTAGCATACAAGGCTTCCTAAACTCAGTTGCATTCATCAATAGCTTGACATGTCCAGGTTCTATCTAGTTCTACACATTTAGCTTTTACATCCCACAACATCAAATATACAAGAATACAAATATTTATGCATGCATTCCTTCCAAACTAGTGCTTAAACCACATAAGAAATGACTCGCATCTAGTCCAAGTTATGTGGAGCTATGAACAGAGGAAAACCACATTCCCACTAGTAATCCAACGCCCCTAAAAGAATCCCCAAGGAACTAATCAAAAACATATCATAAAAATCGAATTGATTCTGTCTAGAAGAGTCTCATGTGATGACCAAGGGGGTGTCACGTTGTGAGCTCAGACTCCTTCGCGATTCAGGCTCGATCAGTTCCGCCATCACGTCGTGACACTAGGACGTCCATGTCCTGACTCCAAATGTTCGTTAGGGTTTGACCAGTCAAGTCCATGTCATCACGATGTAACAAAGGGTTTTCTCACGTCGTGACTAAGAAAACAGCCACAATTTCAATCGTTCAAGGACTCAACCTCACGACGTGACAAGGCAATGTTAACGTCGTGAGAACTGGCAGTTACAGATTTTTGATTATCGGTTGATCCCTTCCTTCTGCCCAATTTGGTTCCAATCAAAACCTCCATTGGGGTGTTCTTAAACCCTAAAGACCCTTTCTAAAAGACTACAAAGATAGGGACAAGAGTGGGACAATCAAACACACCAAAATCAAGAATTTGCAGCATTCATGGCATCTCCCTGTGTGTGACTTGTAGGACAACAAAAATGAACTTTAGATGGATGTCGTACCCTATGGAAATCTAGAAATAAACCACCAAAAGGATGCTAAGGAAGTATTTGTATGAATTCCCACCACAAGTCCACCAATTGTACCAAAGATATCGCCTTTATTCTTCACTTCAACACACCACCATGGGCAAGAACCTTAGAACACGCTCTCAAGAAGGCGGAGGCTTAAGGTAGGGTTTGTTAGCTCTAAATGTGTGACTAACCCTAGATTAGGGTTAAGTGTGGTATAAATATGAGTCCATATTTCATGTACCCCCCCCCCCCAAAGTGTGTAAAAATGACCCTATGACCCATATACATAACCAAAGAATCATTTTCTACACTTTATCGCCCTTAAATTGACTTTAAACAATAGAAAAAGTAACTTAACATGAGAATGTAACGGGACTAACCTCAACGACAAAGTAGGAAAATTTCGAGTCGTTACAAGATATATCCAAAGAGAACGTGAAGTAGCCCACCAACGTCTCATGCATGATTATTTTGACGAGCATGCTCTTTTTCAAGGATATTATTTCCGCCGATGGCTCCGAATGCATAAAAATTTATTTATGTGTATTGTCGAAGGTATGAGTGAAGAGTCTGAGTATATCCGACGACACATGAATGCAAGGGTTATGTTAAGCTTTAATCCAATTAAAAAATGTACAACTGTATTTTGAATGTTAGAATATGACACCCACCCCGATGCACTAGACGAGAGTTTTAGGATGTTTGCACGTATCACGTGATAAAGCCTTCATGAATTTTGCAGATCTATTATGTCTGTGTACGGTCCATGATATTTGTGTTATCCTACTTTGGATGACATACAAAAGTTGTATGCTCATCATGCGAATGTGCATGACTTTCCTGGGATGTTAGAAATTTTAGATTGCATGCATTGGAGATGGAAATTGTGTCCAAATGCACATCATGGGCAATTCATAAATGACAATTATCATTATCTGACGGTCGTACTTGAAGCTATAGTCTCACATGATTTGTGGTTATGGAATGCATACTTTGGTAGTCTCGGCTCGATTAATTACGTTAATATTCTCAATTATTCACCAATATTTAGCAAAATATATAACAATATTGCCCCAGATTCGTCATTTGTACTCCGAGGAACAGAATACAAATTTGGGTACTATCTTGTCCATCGGATCTATCATGACGTTTAGTTTTTTTGTTAAAACTTTTTCGTGTCCGGATGACCCTCAAAGGTCAAGATTTAAGAGAGTCAAAGAAAAAAAATCAGGAAAGATATCGAACGAGCGTTTGGAGCACTTAAAAACATTGGCAAATACTTTCCAAAGCATCATTGTTTAGTGATGTAAAAACTATGGCATATGTTACATATACATTATGTATCATATTACATAATAATATGATATATAACATGAAGGAAACACGATATGTGCCTACGACGAGAATAAGTCATCCCCAAGACACAAGCACTAGCATATGGTGGTCAAGAATGGATAAGGAGAATGAGGATAATCAACAATGCATAAATCATTCCGATCTTCTCCGCCATTTGACCGATGATCTTTGGACGATTGACAATCTTGATCTTAATATACCACCGGAAGATGAATCGGAAGACCAGTATTTGGACGAAGACCCTTTGTTTTAATTATGATGTGTTGTTTTTTTATGTAATAAGTCGTGTTTCTAGGTATTAAGTCATGTTTTAATTTATTAATGTGTATTTTAAGTTTTGATTTATTGTAACTTTTTTATTTAATATAAAATGTTTGTGTTTTATAAAAAAATAATTTATTTAAGTTGGAAAAAAAATCAAAAATACATATAGTGTGTTAGGAATGATACGAATCCTTATGAAATGTTAAGTAAAACATGCTATTTAAGTGAGCACAAAAAATAATGTGACAATTTGCTATGCTTATGTGGCAGTGGATATAGTGATCATGTTGATTAATACGATTGCTTATACGATTTAAAACACCAAGTGAACTTTCTAACTAAAAAAACAAAATGTACAACTACAACATAGTACAATCCAAGATAACTCTAATATTAGTCCAGTTTCTTGAACGATTTATGATATCATCTTCAGCATGCAAACTCACTCCACTAATTTTTCTGATTATCAAACAAAAACCAACAATTTGTGTTTGTTGCCTCAAAACAACGCTCACTACCAAGAAAGCAGATGCTATTCTGCACTTAATTAATAGTGACAATTTCTATTTTCTACCATAAATCTTTTACATGATTCTTATATTATACACTTTTATCTGCAATTTGAATTCAAGAATTTCTGCCAAGAAAACCGATGCAAATAATACCATCACACGAATATATACAAATTAATACGAAGATCCAAGTTACAGAGTACAACCGCAGAAGACGAAGTAACAACCAAGCATAAGTGCAAGAACAAGAGACTCTACCGCCATGATGACGTTCCAGAGCACCTCATCGACGATCCAAGTATCCAGTCGTCGGAAGCTTTCGCCGGTGGTGATTTGGGAAAGATTCTGTGAAGTCCAGCTCCAACCGGTGGTGACGTAAGAGGAGACGATGTTGATTCCATTTCCATCGAATTCAAGCCGCCGGAAAATCGAACGCAAGAGACACATCTCTGGAATCAAACTATAAGCGGTGGCGTGATTTGGATATATATTTTTACAAAAAGGAAATGTTGAGAGACAAAGAGGCAGAGAGAACACGGTGGCGGATGATCAATTATTACTTATTTGCACGATATTTTCCTTTTATTGGCTAATTTGCGTGTCATGACGTGACAAATTACATGTAAAATCTTTTCTATCATCATTAGTTAATATATGAAAATTTATATTATAAATTTATAACTTAAAGTATATTGGTTTGTATGGTTTTTTTGGATAACAATAATAAACTATACCAGTCAGCTTTGTTGACCAAGACAAATCTAATATATATATGGTTGAGTTTAAGAGAAACTATTCTAAATTATAGAACCAAAAGAATCTATTTTGGTTGTTAGATAACAATTGATCAAGAGCCGCCTCAACAAGGTCTATACATTTAAATGTTAGAGGCGAATGTATCAAATCATAGAAAAAACTATCAGTTTTTTTCGTATTTTTTATATTTAAGATTTATTTTTTATAAAAAAATAACCGAATATACAAAAATTTATAATTTTTTATCCTATTTTCAGCGACATCTGTATTTATATATAAAAAACATATTTTTTATTTTGAAAAAAACTCACTTCACTTTGTTATTATTATTATTATTATTATTTTTTTCGAAAAAATAAAATAAATATATCAAAATTCATAATTTTTGGTGCTTTTAAATAGATATTCATATTGATATAAATTTTTTTTTTTTTTCACTTTGCTCAAATTCACACTATGAACAAATTCACATCGTGAATCTGATATGCATATAATTTTGTTTTTGACATTCACAATGTGAATCTTACTTACTATTTCAACACTTTTGATCATTCATAAATTAATTTAGTGAAGTTTACGTATGAATCAAAGTATATTTCCACGTAGTTTTATAATATTTTAACCTTTAAATTACTAATAAATTAGTTTTGTAAAATTCACAAGTAAATTTATTCATGATGTGAATCTGAACTATATATAATTCAATTTAAAAAAAAAAGACAATGTGAATCTGACACTATTATTCACACTGTGAATTTGAACTGTATATATACTTTAGTTTTTAGCACTTACAAGGTGAATCCGAGTTAAAATTTCGATTTTTTTTACATCCATATGAATATCTATTTAAAGAGACCAATAATTATGAATTTGATATATTTATTTTATTTTTTTCGATAAAAATAACCCTAAACATTAAAAAAACTAATAAAAGGAAGTGATTTTTTTTTGAAAAAAAAGTTCATTTTTTATATATCAATATGGATGTCTATGGGAAAAGGATAAAAATATGAATTTAGGTATATTCGGTTTTTCTTTCGATAAAATAATAGTCAAAATATAAAAATAAAAATAAACGAAAAAAGAAATGAGTTTTTGTCATAATCTGATGCATGTTCATTCAACCTCTTAATTTGCATCTGTTTTTTGGCCCTTAATCAATTTCTTTCTATCAGCCAAGATTGATTCTTTGGTTTTATGGCTTAAAATGGTTTATATATATATATATATATATATATATATATAGGTTATTGTATTCTAACTAATTATTGTATGGATGTAGGAATGATTGTGAGTCAATCATTTTACTTATTTTAAGAAAGTGATTAATACATATTATTAAATTAAAGATTATTGAACAATACCATCTGATTTTATTGTAAGGGTATTTTAGTCAACTAACATAAATTTAAAAAAAATGAAAATTGCAGATTTTAGGGAATAATTAATTCTCTAAACTTTAAAAATCTGATTTTTTGGATAATAAATATATTAAGTCGGACATTCTAAAAGAATGTGTTTATCATTATCTTGAAAAAGAACATTAAATTCTGACAGAATAATATAAACATATATTATCAAGATTAATAATTTTTAATGAATACAAATTTTATATGAAAAGAATTTTAATATCTTAAAATCAGTAATTACATTCCTTCTTAACTAATACAACTATGAACATACATAAATGACATTCAATCTGAAAGAATACAAGTAATAATAGTTAACAGTTACATTTATTCTTAAAGAATAAAACTGAGAATGGTTAAAAATCAAATAAAAACATTGAAATCTAAGTAAAAGACTAATACATTCTGATAGAATATTGTTGTTAATCCATTCTGACAGAAAAAACGTGCTAATCAATTCTGAACGAATATTGTTGCCTTACTTTCTATTCTTCACCAGGCCTCAAATCGACTTCTCAATTGTTGCTGCCTCTACACATAGAATGTGTTTGTAGTCATCATCTCCAACATTGTTTTCAATCCCATAAGAAGTTTAGAATTATTGACTTCATCTTCTTATTCAACTTCAGAAATAGTCTTTAGGTCACCATGCTTTCTAAGATAATCTCCAACAAAGGATTAAATCTTGATTCTTGAATCCAAAAGCTCAAAAGTTTTCAGGGCTATCGTCTAATTGTTTCTCATCTTCTATGCCCAACTCCAATATCTCCTAAAAACAACCATTCTACCTTCGTTACATCCATTAATAAATTACCCATAAAAATACATTATATTTGGAGGTCTAGATACAAAAATACCACCTGCTGGTTGTTTTTAAGAAATTCAAGGGATCCAAGATTGCCATTTGTACCAAGGTATTTCCTGCGCATAAACCTAATCAAATAATTATATAAATCACTATAAAATAAAGTCAATAAAAACATCTCAATGATTATTAACGCGAGGAAATAGATTCAAAGGAAAAATCCCTATTTGAACCATCAACGATTAGAATAACAAAGATTGGGTTAGTAATTAAGCTACCTTAACCATCCCATGGTCGTTGAAAATTAGTGCCAATAACACCATCTTGCCAGACACTTAGGAGTAGGAAGCAAACCAACAAATTTGAACAAAAAAACTATTTAGGACAAAAAAAAATCCAAACTTAGGTTAATAATGCTTAATATGAAAATAAAAACCAAATATTTTACAAACAAATCAATATATTTTACAACCAATTAAAAATGGATGCGTGGAGTCTTGAATGAAGGCATAAAGTAAGAAAATTAAGTCCACATTGTCGGTTACCTCATTCTTCTTCTCTTAATCAAAACAAATGTCAATATTAATTTATATATATATATGCAGGAGGAACAAGCAAATGAACAAGTTGAAACAAAAAATTACTTGCGTCAAACACCAATTTCAAAGCTGCGCAAACAAAGAAATTAAAAAAAAAATCAATAAAGATATGTAAAAGTCTCTAATCGAAAACGATTTCTTTTCAATTCAATTGAAAATAATTTATAAAACTTCTTAAAACTGAGTAACCGACCTTGAAAAGAAGACGTAGATGGAAAACTTTTTAGATATTATAGGCATCGGTGGTGGAAATGACGTGATTATAGGAGTAGCATCGGTGGTGGAGATGTGTATTATCCTTAAATGCAAACATAGGTACAAGAACCTTCTTCAAGGATCTGAAATGTGTAGTAGAGAATTCCGATGGCAGAGAACTAAACAAGAAATTGACAAAAGGTTGGATTTAATCAGAGAACCCTAATTAAAAGGTGAAAAATTAGGGATAGAAGTTTGATTTTGTTACCTGTTGATTTATTTGAAGACTGATGCCAAAAATAAACATGTGCTTGACTCCCGGTTCAAGATTTTCTCGAGGTTTATGTGGGTTACGAGGTTACCATGGTCGTCGATCGGGTCTTCTGGCGGAGAATGGTGCTCGAAGTGGGTGCCATTGGTGTGGAGATAAGGAGGAACTTCATAGATGGAGGCGTAGAGGGGTATAAGATGGAGTCGATCGATGGTAGTGTTGGGTTGAAGAAGACGATATGGATTGGTGGTAACATACTAGGCACAATTTAAGGAAAATTAATCCAATATTTTAGGAATGTATTAAATATTTATTTAATTAATAAAATTAATTAATAGGTAAGATTAAAATTTTACCCTTATTAAGATTTTTGAAATGATTGGCCTACAATCATTCCTACATCCACACAATAATTAGTTAGAACATTTGAACCTACCTCTCTCTCTCTCTCTCTCTCTCTATATATATATATATATATATATATATATATATATATAATATATCAGTGTTGTAAAAATCTCGACTAGGTCCCGATTAATCTCTAATTAGTCCCTACACGCTACCCGACCAACTAAAAGACGCCGAACAATTAATTCCTGCCTATACAATGAGTGAAGCAGTACCAAAAGATTATAATTTAAAACTTTGAAGACGTTTTATCTCAATAGAAACTATTTAAGAAATGATTAGTATCGTATTAATCATATTAACCTATTTTGTTAGGATATTGGTGGTTTTTGCGAACTTTGTTTTGAAGGTATATATATATATATATATATATATATATATATATATATATATATATATATATATATATATATATATATATATATATATATATATATTAGCCGTCTACCCGCGAAATGCGACGGACGGCGAATTCTTCATTTCGGCAAATTATAACCAATAACTTTATTTCCTTATTAACTTTTAAACAATATAGACCATTAGATCTAACTAACAATAAAAACTAAAAGACACTATTCTCGAAAACCTAATCGCGGTAACATTAGACACCAACCATTGATTTTTTTCAATAAGCCGAGTTTCTTTATGGTAAGGGATTATTTCAAGACACTATTCTCTTTTATGTTGATTATTATGTAGATCAGACATCAACCATTGATTTTTTTGAACTTTTTGTTATTAGGTAGTTTTTTTTTTGAAAAACTTGATATGTTTTATGCACTTCGATTGAAAATGCAACAAATTATGAGTCTATATTCGAAAATCTATTTTTTGTCCATTTGTTGGTGTATTTGTAATGTTTCTTTTCTGTCTTTGTAGACCGGTAATAAAAAAATGGATTCACGATTTCCACCTTTCCTTTCATGCTATCAAGGGACCACAAAAAAGATATATACATTTTTTTCTTTTTCTATTTTTTGTAGATGTTATATGAAATATTAATATAAAAAGAATTAAACGTCTCTCTTTAATGCATCATGACCTCCACAACACTTACTTTGCCTTCAATTATCTTTCTATGACTCCATGTAATACCAAGCATCCTTTAACCATATATTTTTCTTTTAAGTTTTGCTATTATAGCCATGAACTTGTACCCTTGTTTTTTGAACATACCCACGTATTTGGTAAACATTTCCATATTTGCAATAAATAATTATGATATTTATTTTTAAAAACTTCCTAGAAATGAAAGTACAATGCTATTTTTTGCATTTGATTTTTAAAAACTTCTTGTATTGAATCATATAATGCTATTTCCTGCATTTAAACATACAAATGTATTGTCTTAAATACATATTTCACGTCAAGTACAACTAATGACCACTAAATAAGTGATTCGACCATGACTTACCATTCAAATTTTACTAGCATAAGAAAACAATGTCTAATTGCCCTAATCTCATAAAACTACTATATCCAACAAACATCCTTTAAATAAGCTGAAAGTCATGTTGATTAAACTTGCAGAATTTGAAGCATTACATATTGTTCAATTAAATGTAAATGCTCGAGAAACTAAGGGAATTAATATATTTTTCGTCATGGGTCTCATTAACTTCTTGTAGATATCTTCATGGTAGTGAAAGTCATAATTATATAGCTACAGACTCTTGTTAGCTTCTCTCTGGGTTCCATCTTCAACCTTTTTTTCATCAAAATTCTGTTAGCATCTTGGACACTTCATAACAAAAACATCTAAAATCATACCAAAAATTAGTCAATTAACATCATTCCTTCAACTAAATAAACCATACTAAAAATAAGATAAAAATGACGGTTAAAATCATGGAATATTTGATATTTATTATAATTTTAGTATATATTAGTTATGAAAATTAAAAATGTAATTGATTATAACTATAGAATGTATCATTGTTTTTTGTATCGGTAACCAAACAGTCTTTTTGGACCATAATGGAATCTTCCATTCTCTGCCATTCCATCATAACACACACTAAAATGATTAATGGACATGAACTTGGGCTTTGTTCTTGATCTACAACTCTTTGTTCTTCATTTTATGTTATACCTCTCGGCCTAAGAAGATCATAAACAAACGAAAATATAAGGGTCCTTTTCAGTTCCTAAATTTAATGGATAACTAAACTAAAAAATAATCAAACTTCTTACATGAATGCAATGTCACAACTCCAAACTTCAATTCATGTAAATCAATAAGAACTCGGGCACCAAGGAAGTTGTTTTCCACTTCACGTGTATCTTCTACAACTTCAGGTCTAATATTCTCTAATACATCAACCTACACCCAACAAATTGCATTAGTAAGAAAACATAAACTAATAAAAGATTTTCATAAATTTTTATTTTTTTTAAGCTCACCTGTTCTTGGAAAAATAGTAACATACTTCTAGTTGGTTGGGAAATTTTAGATAATCATGACCAGTCTCTTGGAAATCGATAATATATGATTTGAGATGAGCATGGAGCATTATTTTTGGATTTATGAGGAAATTTGGTAGATTCCGACCCAAATCAAATCAAGTTGACTTTATAAGAAGTCTGATGAATCTTTTGGATTTCTTTGCATTAAACATTGGGGTCACAACCCATTTCTTAATCCTCTCTCTTTCTGCAATTATAGTTCTTAAAACAAGTTCATCGTATCATTTCACTAATCTAAAAATTAAAATTAGTAATAAATATGAAGTTTAGTTAGACGAAAGATTTTACCTCTTTTTTTTATCCAGATGTAAGAGATTGGTTGTACCTCTTCAATTGCTAACGAAATCACAAGATTTACCTTATTAAAAATCACTGCAATCCTCACATTATGACCATATTGCCCCTGCACACTGTTTTTATAATAAAAATAAAAACCAATTTTTACAGTTTTAGGATCATATTGCCCCTGCACACTGTTTTTATAACAAAAAAAAAAATCAATTTTTACAGTTTTAGGACCATATTGCCCCTGCACACTGTTTTTATAATAAAAAAAAATAAAAATTTAAAATTTTAGGACCATATTGCGCACACTGTTTTTATAATAAAAAATTCAATTTTTAAAATTTTAGGACCATATTGCCCCTGCACACTGTTTTTATAATAAAAAAACAATTTTTACAGTTTTAGGACCATATTGCCCCTGCACACTGTTTTTATATTAATAAAATTCATTTTTGGACTGAAATTTTTGAAAGCATCTTCTGCATTGATACGACATTCAATCGAGTGTCCTTTAAGCATAATATCATCCTGTTATAATAATTCAAGATAAAATAAATGTTTTTGATGCATAAAAAGATGAGAAAAATTAATTTAGTACCTGTGTCATAAAGAGTTTTTCACCCACAGCAACACATATTTGCTCCTCTATTAAGTCGACTGAAGATATCATTTCGGTCACTGGATGTCGACCTTTTTTTAATATTAAAAAAACAAAGGGTCACAATAGTTATCTATAATAAAATGGAGTTTATAATTTGTTAGTTTTTTTTTAACTAACCTAGATTCTGGTGTTCATTTTCATGAAGTAAAATTGACCCCTTTCTTAAATTTCAAGAAACTCCACAGTACCAACACCAATGTACCCAATTGATGCTGCTGCAGCAACCGCTGCATCACCCATGGCTTTCCTTAGCTCTGGGGTTAATGCAGGGAGGGTGCTTCTTCAAGCTACTTCTGGTTCCTCCTCTACAAGGGCAAATTCGTCATTTTTTACAATACATACAAATAAATATATAGATGGAGTAAGCAAGAAAAATAACCGATTGTAGAATATATATATATATATATATATATATATATATATATATATATATATATATATATATAAACCAAAAAAAAATTAAATTGTTGTTAAGAGAAAATACAAACAAAAAGATTTAAAATTGGTGATGAAATTATAAACCAAAAAAAAATGTCATTCGTTTGCCTAGTAACAGAATTTCACATCCACCTTAAACTTTCCTGGAAATCCACCAAAAAAACAAAAATGGTAAAAATAAATAGTTAGATGGAATTAATCTTTTATAAGAAGATGTAAAACTAAAACTGATATTATTATAAAACCTTTATATAGTAAGGATGCAAGCAAATAAAAAATCTCTTAAAGTTTGTTGGTGAAATTTTGTTTCCTACCAAAACTAAGCCAGGAAATTGAGCTCTAGGTTCCTTTGTTTTAGTTTTACTGTTAAACAGGCACAACATTATGAAACACATACAATAAATATATCCAATACACAACTTAAAATAAAGCATATACCTGCAAATAAAAACCATATGTTCCATCCAGTAACCACCATTTGAAACCTCACGAAAAGAAAAGAATCAATAACGTTATTGTGCATGTAGGAGTATCTCTATATAAGATATATGAAAGCCATGAATAAACTAACCCCAATTTCCTTTATGTTACTCCTAGATTTTCAAATATCCTGAACAAAAAAAATTTCAATAAAACTGTCAAACCTTCGATGTCTCTTTAAACAATGTCAATGATGAGAAATGTTAGAGATTATTTACAAAACCTTCTGAAGCTTTCTCGATACACATCCACCAGACGTTTCTGTTTAGAGATAAACACAGAGAAGGTCGAAGAGCCCACAGCCAAAACCCTAAATCAACGATTAAGAGACAAATAAGAGAGAAAATTAAGTGTAAACTTTAATTTCCATAAGGTAAAGTACCGGGGAGAAGGGAGCAGGTGGTGGCTGCTCGATGGTTGTGAATGTTGTCCTGTCTTCCATGGATGTTGGTGACGACATTGTAGGAGTGGCGACAGTGTAGCGTTGATGGTGGTCATGGAGGAGTAGGGTAGTGTGTGGTGATGAATGAAGACATCAAGGATGGTTCTAGTGAAGGAAGTTGAATCGAACAATGACTGTTGTTGGAGGTAATGGCGATGACATCGAAAAAAGATGCAGACCTAAAGGTGGACACTACCACGTTTTTTGGTTCTAGGGTTTCAAGAGAGAAAGCACGGCTGTGTAGAGCTTCAAATGAGGCAAAGCTGATAATTTTAGGCTTTTGTATCTAGGGTTAGAAGAAAAACATGGAATTCATTTATGCTATCCAACTTGTACCTCTTAATCTTAAGAAGACGAAGGTCGGGGGAGGCGGCATCAATTATGCTGAAGATTTCCATTAGGGTTTGTTTGTTGGTGGAAGAAAGAGAAACGGTGGTGGTGTGCACGACGTAACTGAGGGATCTGGTGGTCATAAGTAGTGAGTGGTCTTAGGGTTTTTTAGGAGAAGAAGAACGGATATAAGGGAAGGGGGCACGAACTGAAAAGATTTTTTCCGGAATCTTAGCTTTTTCGCAACTCATCGTTTGGACTAAGGAACTGGGTCAAACATGATGCATTGGTTAATTGTACTTCGTTTTTCATGTTTTGTACTATTTAAAAAATATTATTATTTTATTGATGGCTACTTGTACCAATAGCTTAATGATTTGAACGTCTTAAAAAAATATTATTATTTTATTCAATCTATTTATAGAAATAGTTAGATTTCTTTTATAAGGTAGTATATATATATATATATATATATATATATATATATATATATATATATATATATATATATATAAAATCCGTGTCAAATAAGAAAACAATTTTAGGTATGAAAGTAAGAAATTTTTTATATGTATATTGTTTTAGGGAACCAACAAAATGAATCATTAAATAAATCAAAAGTAAGATGATTATTTAGCAAAAGTTCCAAAAAAAAAAAAACAGTTTCATGATTCATTTTTTGATAAATCAAACAAAAATTCGTTTTTATAACAATTTTGGTGAATAATAATAAAATCATCGCAAAAGTGAATCATCGTGATGTTTTTCCAGGAATATTTTTGTGAATCATGTTATGTTTTATTTATCTAATAAATAATTTATTTGGTTTGCCTTAAGAATATATAGAAAAAAAACTTATTAGCTTCCTACCAAAAAATTTCTTCGTACCGAATTTACACACACACACACACACACACACACACACACATATATATATATATATATATATATATATATATATATATATATATATCAAATTTGTAAAAAACGTTCGACGTTAGCTAGTCGATGTACTGGGGTTAATGGAACTAAACGGGGATTAATTAGGGATTAAATGGGGGCCCAAATTTTTTTTGAATTGAAAAAAAAATTAAATATGTCTAATATCAAAACAAAGTTCGTAAAAGCCACTAATATTGTAACAAAATAGGTTGATATGATTAATACGATACTAATCATTTTTTAAATAGTTTCTATTGAGATAAAACTTAGTCAAAGTTTTAAATTATAATCTTTTTGGTACTGCTTCACTCATTGTATAGGCAGGAATTAATTGTTCTGAGTCTTCTAGTTGGTCGGGTAGCATCTAGGGACTAATCAGAGATTAATCGGGACCTAGTCGGGATTTTTACAACACTGGTATATATATATATATATATATATATATATATATATATATAAAAGATTGTTATAATGTTTATATTTGATTACATCTTTTGTCCAACTATTAGCATTTTAAGTTTGGTCTATATTTCAAACTTTGTTAGCAAGTTAGTCATTTTGATTAACTCTCTTTATTTTGCTTATGTCAAAAAACCCTTATGTGTCCTACATAGGAGGATATTTTCATCTTTTTGCCAAAGAGTCTTTGCATTTGTTCCCAAAGTTATATTAAGTACTAGTGCCACTTTATTTGTCATCATAGAACAGTAAATATAAATCGAGTTGATCAAGTACATAGTGTATGCAAAATATGGAGTAAGGAAAGTAAATAGTATCATGTTGACGTCAACCGTATATACAACATGTATTTTGTTCTTCCTATTTGATAGTTATTGTTGAAGCTATGATGATAAGTGTTTTCTTCTTCTAAAGGTTTGATTAAATGTTTTTGGCCTTGACTCTTTGTTCAATACATTTCTTTGTATCTTATTTCCTTTGATTGTCATCTTCTGTATGAAAATCTATTAGTCAATAAACCTTTATTTTTTTAGCACGAGCTATACAAGGACCCGCTAACTCCACTCGTAAATCTACACCTTTCATCTCAAAAAAGACTTGAACACTCAACATTTGGCTGATGGACACCCATCTGTTAACTCCTTATACTGCTAGGATGCTATGAAAATATCTTCAATATAAAGATGCATCATAGTGGGTTCTTCACCCATCCCCTAGAAAGATGTACATTAATGGCGAGGTTGACTAGTTTAATCTCATAGCCGTAGAGGATTTTACCTTGTTCGATCTTCATACCATGACGAAGGAACTTATGATGAAGTTGTTATTATTTTTCACCATTTATTGATGCCTATAGTTGATATAGACAGTGGCTTAATAACCCTGGAAGATGATGAAGACATCATCTTTTATGTTCAATTTGTTGCATAAAATAAGGAATCCAGGTTTACATAGAAGGATAAATTCCCTAATCATTATGGCTTCAATGATTACCCAACAAATGAAATGAAATACCTTCTCATGACAAGGATAATAATTCCCTAGCCATTATGGTATATGAAGAAGGAGAAGTGTTGAAAAGGCTAGCAAATCCCAAGCCATTATTGTATATAAAGGGGACATTTTGTTTACAAATCCAATTTAAAGTGTGGTGAAGAAGAGAAGTACAAAGAAGGGCAACCAGGAACTGTTTAGTGTAGAGTATGATAATTTGTTGGTAATGGTAAAGATGGTGGTGAGATGTTTAAATGAAAGATATCTTAGGGTCTATTTGATATTAAGGTAATTGGGTTCGGTCAACACTTTTAGTTTCCTCGATCTGGGCATCTTATTTGATAAAGGCTTAAAATGACCGAATCGATGAGCATTCACGAACATGTCTACTTATCCGGTCCTTGCTTTAAATGTGGTTGAACCAAAGAAAGATCGTTGTGCCATAAAAGAAAAGAATGCCTCTCCCTTTATTGATTGTTTCCCTTTCCTTCTTCAACACAAAGTTTCATGAAGCAACTTCTCCCTCTAGCCAGTTAGATGATGTAACATCAAGTTAGTTGAAAACTGATGTTGAGAACCAGTAACCCCCTTGGAGATGGAATATAGAGAACTAGTAATCCTTTAAAAAATCGGATATGAATGTGGGTGCGTGATGCTAGTAACATGTTATGAGACGATGGTGGTATGTGTTGTGATGGTTGATGATTGCTCGGTTATGAAAAGAATAGTGAAATTAAGTAGTGATGGTGACAAGATGAAGATGATGGTGGGTGTAGCTGATCGAGAAGGAGTTGGGTAATTATTTGTTATAGGTTTAAATGGTTGGAGATAGAGAAATGTTATGGTGGTATACGGTGGTTTGTGCAAAGGATGAATAATGGTAATTTTTTGACGATGGTGGTGATGGTAATGATGGCTGTAATGGAGAAAAAAGGATGGTGTGTTGGGAGGATAATTGGTGTGCAAGGGTATGGTGGATTTGGGTATGAAGATTATCTTACCCCGGTCCATTCATCCTTTTACTGTTTGCATGTGTATATATTTATCAAGCTAACAGTCCAAATAAAACCTGTAAATCTTCAATTTCTTTCTTTTTCACTACAAGTTGCACATTTTTTTTATCTAAATATTTATCAAATTATGTTTCTAAATGCAA